AGTTATAAATATAAATTAAATTCTAGCACTTCTTGCCTTTGGGTCTTTAACTATTAGCTTCTCTTGCAAGGTGACTCAAACTCTAAAATTCATCGTTTTAACTTCCAAAAAGAAAATGAAGTAACCACACTAGAATTCAACAAGCATTTGCTAAAAGTCATGTAGCTATAAGCAGAATCAAATGAAACCAGAACAAGCAGGCTGATTTCTTGGCTGGTGGCCTTCATATGTTTACTAAAAATATTTAAAAAGTGAGATCAAAGTGTTTATATGAGTGAATGTTATTAATTTAGATCAGAGATTTATACAGAATACTTGCTTAAGCAAAACATTCTATAAAATAGTTATTCAAATCTTCTAATTCTTATCTTTAAAAATTGACTTAGACATTCAACTCAGGAAGGGAGGAAACAAAGAAAACCACATTAAAGCCATATGTATATTTCAGTACCATGAAGCAGCCAGTATGGAGCAAACTTTCCAGTCAGTAGTCTTACCCAGCTATTAACCCCGTGAGCTACAATAAAGAGTGGCCTGGCAATATATGCCCAAGGCAGGGATAATGGCACAAAGCTTATCAGGGTAAACAACTGCTTTTTGCTTCGATTTAAGGCCTGTGACACAGGAGAAAACATATGCCGGGGACTGTTAACTGACCTAGAACCCAAGATTGGGGAGCACCCAGGCTCCAGGAGTGAGCCTGCTTTTACTTTGCTAATTTGACATAGTATCAAACTACCACAGATTAATGAAGCTTTCAGTCCTCATCAATGAAGTTCCTCTGGGCAGTGAACAGTGTTAATGCAGAACTCAGAGCTGGCCAAAGCACAGTGACCAAGTGACTGAAACTCAGTGGGACATGTGTTATCGCCCCTCCCCAATGCCTTGCAGCACCCGGAGAAGGAAAGGGCAGAAATGTGTGTCAAAAGTTGGCAAGGGCTTCTGGACATGACAGAACTGATGCTGTCATAACTCATTGCTCCGGTTATGTGACAAGACCAAGCCAGCCACCATTCCAGAATGGAGGAGGAAGGGCTCACAAGCTCCGCCCTCTAGCTGGGAAGTCATTGGCAATTCTGGTTACAGTTTTCTTTATATTTCCTGACAGGTAGATCACATTCCAGTGGATGGTCCCACCCCAATATGTATATAGATACCACAAATCAGATTCAACCATTAACCACACACACACACAAGTTTGGAAATGCTAGACGGTGGAAAAGTTAGAGGGGATAGCAAAAGTGGAAATGATCAAAACACATTGTATGCACATACAAAATTCTCAAAGAATGAGTAAAAGGGAGTCTGACATGACATGCCTTTAATCCTAGCACTTGAGCACTCAGGAGTCAGAGGTAGGCAGATCTCTGTAAGTTCCAGGACAGCCACTACTACCTAGTGTAACACAAAAGAAGCAAGAGGAAAGAGTAAAAATAACAGAAAGGGTGTCTGAAAAGGTCATAAGAAATCAGACTATCATTTACTTACAACATTACATTTGTACATATAAGTCTACATGTACACATATATAATTAAATAAAAATTTCCCACCCGGGGTGCTAATACTTATTCTCTATCCCAAAATCCATAGACTGTCAGACCCCCAATACGAGGAATGGAAAGCCCCCTTGTCAGCTGTTTGTCACAGATGTTCAATAGATCCCGAAACATCACAGAATGTTGTCCTTGCTGCCTCCTAGAGGTTGAAGCTAAGTCTTTACTGCAGAAGACACCATGTTCTTTGGACATAGAACCCAGAGGATCTGAACCTTATCTAACCTGAAAGCTTCTTCACTAAGGACTAGCTTTCATGTTACCAGAAGGTGCAAGCATGCTTCCAAGGGATGGATGCTACCAACAGTCCTACCTTGCTATGATGTCTATGAACTACAACAATGGCCAACACAGCATGATGACCCAAAGGATGCCACAGTGACACTCATGTCTTGGCAGTGACCAACAGCTCTCTAATTAGACTTAAGGCCTTCTGAGCAACTGGGAAATCACACCTTGTATTGGAAACTTAACCAACTTCATGGGTCTGGGAAGTCATGAATCTAAAGAACCTACAACCACCACTTTTCTAAACCAATGTTAATGCCTAACTGAATTCTAAACATTTCTCCTTACACTCACAGGTAAATGCAGTTCTCAAAAGAGAAACCTCTCTTTGCAGTAGATGGACATCATTACAGAAAACCACAACCAATTAAAATGCCTAGCCCCAACTGACTGATCTACACAGCTCCTGTCCCTAAGGCTCAGGGAACATAGAAGAGGAGCCAGAAAGACTCTAAGAGCTTCTTCAAAGAAGCAGGGGTTTGCTGTGAGATTGCATCTCCTAGAAATGCCAGAGAAACTACACCCATGATGGCTCAACAACATGCTGCCTAAACAAGACCTGAACAAGGACAACACCAACAGACACGACAACGTGGAAAAGGGAAATCATACAGGACCTTAAACACAGACAAAGAACACAGGCAACTAGGGAATGCTGAGAGCAGGAGAAACGGTATTCCCCAGGGCAGAGCCTCCAAACTGATTAGCCAACACCAAGTCATCAGTCCTGAAATCATATACAAACAGGTAACACTATGCAGACAAAGCATGTTTTATCTGTATATTTAGGAATGAACTTGAGAGAGTAAAGGGGGACATGGGAGGAGTTGGAAGAAGAAAATGGAAAGGGAGAAATGATGTAACTATATTTTAATTTCAAAAAACAATTAAAAAACTTATTTTAAAAATATTTTAAAATTCTAATTTCAGATTGTAATCATTTATAAGATACAGTTCAAATATGCCAAAGTCACAGTGTAGGTACCTCAAAATTATATTTTCTTTGGTAATAAGCTTTCCAATGACTTTCTGGGTCAATATTGAACAAATGCAAGAACGGCTTCCTGTCAAATTCTTTTAGTAGTCTTATAAAAATGAGAACATTTACAAACTTTATCTCAGACTGCCAATGAAACACTTTTTCATTATCTTCCTGGGAAGCCTTTAGTTCATATTTTGTTGGTTTATGACCTCGAGATTCTGTTTTACACAATCCTAAGACCATTTTCAATAAAGTTCAGCAAGCCTACATGTAGGTTCTGAATTTAGTACAACAATCACACCAGGCGATGCTTCTTCAATCTGTCATTTGAAGGGATTTAATCTTTGCTTCCCTCTGTCACTTTCCTTCCTCAACTCTGTCCTTCCACACTTTCCAGAGAAAGACAACTTTCTACGTTTTACCAAGAAAACAACCTTTATGTCAGTCAGTCAGTTTCTAAAGCTAATGGTTTCCTTTAAAAAAACACCCACACATACAAATAAACGGAGGGGAAAAATGGACTGACAATGGAAAATGAAGGGAGCCTATTTATGCTGATCCTCAGTCTGCTTAAGAGAAGTATGCTACTGTATAAAACTGCCGACATAAGCACCTGTAAAACCAGGTCACTGTGTTCTTCTAGTTTCCAGACCAGTGCTATTCAAAAAGCTTCCTATGGCCATGGGAATGTTGTATAGCTGTGAGCTACGTAAGTCATCACCTGGCAGGCTACTGAAAAACAAGTCCATTTCAAGTTTTATTGCATTTTACTAAGCATGAACAGCCATGTTCCTACTGTGATGGGCATCATAGGATTAGACATTTTTTTTTTTTCTTTTTCCTTTACCATCTTGAGTATTATACAAATGTTCTCACTGAATTTTTTGTCTTGACTCATCTGTCATCTCTGTATTAAATAGCTAGACAGAGCTACAATCTCAAAAGGAAAGGTTACTGAGACAACACTCAATTTTAAAGGCTATGTTATGGCGTGAATCTGAAATGCCATGACAGCCTCATATGTTGAAGCCTGGCCACCAGCTGGCAGTGAGTGCTATTTGGGGAGATGGTGGAAACTTCTGGAATCAGTACTAGCTAAAGAAGACTGCTTATGAATGGTTTTCCTTTAAAGGCACCCAATCCCTTCCTTTCTCTGCTTCCTGGTTGCTAACGACTCCATCCTACCATGACCTGCCATGATGGGCTGAAATCACGAGCCAAAAGAGATCTTTCTTCCTTCGAGGTATTCTTGTCACAGTGACAAGAAACGTAAATAAAGGTTAGCTTTAAAATGTGCTCTGTTTCATAAAGAGCGCTGTAATCAATTATTTTGTATTTTATTGGCAGTTTAATAAAAACTAAAGGAATACACCCATCTCTGAGTGGATTTTAAAACCATGACAACATACTCTTCCCAGAATTCCTGGACAGGACTGCATAATTAATTAGTCCACCAGGAAAATAGCATAATCAAATACCAATACAGTTCACCCAAGTAGGATTATGGAAATAACTGAAGATCATTTACATATCCACTCACTATGATAACACAAAATTAGTGAATAGAAACATGTTCTATCAAATGCAATAATACAAAGTGATAGTCAATGAACAATTATGTGATTTCTCTCTTTGGAATTATTTACTGAACACCAAGCGTGGCCTGAGGTTTTGAGAAATTTGTGTGACCGCTGATAGTTCTTCCCCATTTAATCTAGGGATAAATATATCACCTTAAAATAAAATTCTTTTCTTTTAAAAGCTAAAAGCGAAGTACTAAGAAAAACACTGTTAAGTATTTTAAACCCCCTTTGGTTTCTCCTGTCTCCTCCTTACACATAAATTGTTTAGTCTTTTGTCTTTTGCTTGGTTATGAAAGCACAGATGTAGGTGTTGAGGGGGAAAGCTATAATGGCTCCTCTCTAGAGCTGGCACAAATGCCATTATCACCAATCAATTTCTCTGTTCTTTGACTATCAGTTGGGTTTTTGAGTAGTTTTTGGTGGAGGGTGGGTAGGTGGATAGAACATTGGAAACAATTTCAGCATTCAAGAACAAGATTGAAAAGAATTAAAAATATGTGACTACATGTTATGTGCCTAGCTATATACCAATTTCTAAACAATGTTGCTTTGATCCTTTTCAGTCTGGAATTTGAATAAACAATGAAACTTACTATTTTGAGCCAAGGCTTGAAGCAGACAATCCAAGCATCCTTCTAAACAATCTTCTGTCCTGTCAGCAGCTGTGATCTTCAGTTTCTTTAAGGTGTCACTGAGATTATCTGTTCACAGACAAGAAATCAGAAACTTCAATATTCTAACCATCACATGGAAAACCAGTAGCTACCCGTATACAAAAGTTCCCACTAGACCAGTGGTTCTCAACCTTACCAATGTTTTGACCCTTTTACATAAAGTTCCTCATGCTGCAGTGACCCTCCCCAACCATAAAATTATTTTCATTGTTACTCCATAGCTGACGTTTTGGTATATAATGAATCATAATGAAAATATCTATACATGATCCCTATGAAAGTGTTGCTCAACACCTCCCAAGGGGGTCATGAACCACACACTGAGAACCATTGTGCACGACAGAATTCGCCTACATGTACATTCCAAATGGCCCTGGACTCTGTATGTAATAAGCTACCGCCAAGTTTAAAAGTAACTGTCCATTTAACTAGTTACTCCATATATAATTAAAACATCACAAATATCACAGATTATCAATGACTCTTTTCCAATATTCTAATGCCTTACTGAAGAAACCAGATAGTCATGAAAGCACAGTTTTGCTAATTATAGTTTCATACTATTCTATTCTTTATATTGCATTTATTTATTAACTCTCTCTCTGTGTGTGTGTGTGTGTGTGTGTGTGTGTGTGTTTGTGTGTACGGATGTATGTACAAGTATGCTCATGCCAGGCCCCTTTGTGACAAAGAGTATGTTTTCTCCTTCTACCCTACAGGTCTCCCAGGGACTGAATTCAAGTTGTCAGGTTTGGTGCCAAGCACTGATTTCCTGCTGAACAAAAACTACAAGTGCCTTAATGTGTGGCTCAGCAGAAGATGGCGGAATCATTGTATTGTTTATACTCAGTCTTTTATAACGTGTTCTTATGACTGTAGATGCGGAAATACAGCCATGCCTTCCACAGGCAGTTGAAAAGGGTATTATTTTACAGCCCTCTCAGATAACTGTGGCTATGCTGTGATAATATAGCCAAGAAGTATTTCTTCAACAGTCAGCTGCCATGTGAAATCAGAACCAATGCCCTTGATCATTTCCAACTATTACAGTAAAATCTGTTAGTCTCTTGCACATTAAATCTTTTTTATATTTCTGCATTAGTCACTTAAAAAACATTAGTCACTGAATTGTTTATCTCCAAGTGCTGACATATCTCACTAAGCTATTTCAATTATTAAATTTATTATACCATCACCAATCTCATTTTTAAGAAAGCATAATAAGTATTGGGAAGCTATCAATGTAACAAATATGATTTAAGTTTTCCATATTTTTAATTTTATCTTGAAAAACTCTAGTTTTATCACCAACAATAAGTATAGCTAGGTTTTTATTCTCCTTTAAGCGACAAACTATTCATCAGTGGGGGGAAAAATAAAATGCATTAAAGACACAGTCCGTTCTTTCTAATTTAAAAAATAAAAAAGAGGAGACAGGTTCCCCAGAGAATGGCAAGTACTTCCAACAATCCGCAGCTGATCTAGTGTTCCTCTTCACAACCACCACACTTCACAGCATGACAAATGTGTCTTTCACACAGTTCATTTCCTACTGTAGAACTTTTAAAATGTATCCTTAATGGTTGCTTTAAAGAATATTTTTCCAGCCAGGGAGTGGTGGTGCACACCTTTAATCCCAGAACTAGGAAGGCAGAGGCAGGAGGCTCTTTGTAATTGTGAGTTCGAGGCCAGCCTGTTCTAGTTCCAGGACAGGCTCCAAAGCTACACAGAGAAAACCCTGCCTTGAAAAACCAGAAAAACAACAACAAAAACAAACCAAAAACAAAAATAAAGAAAAAAAGAAAGAAAGAGAAATAATGCCCTAGGACAGGAGAGATGGCACAGCAGTTTCCAAGGACCAGGTTTGATTCCCAGCACCCACAGAGCTGATCACAACCGTCTGTAACTCCAGTCCCAAGAGATTCAAATCCCTCTTCTGACCTCCAAACGCTCCAGGAATGCATAAGGTGCAATAGTACTCCATCATGAACATTCTTAAAGCTCTTTTAAGGCTTTTGTAATATGTTAGTAAAGATTTAATGCTAATACAATCACTGAAACATCAACAGTCATTTTTAACTCTTGAATACTAAGCAACTGTACCATTTCCAGCAAAAGTCAACACAGAACTGAAAATTGTGGAATCCCTCGTAAGATCTTACTTCTAAATAGACAGATCTCTCTTCTTTCTCCCTCCCTTCCTCCCTCCCCCCCTCTCTCCTGTGTGTGTGTGTGTGTGTGTGTGTGTGTGTGTGTGTGTGTGAGTGAGAGAGAGAGAGGGGGGGGAGGTGTGATCCAACCCAAGGCCTATACAAGTCTTCTATCACTTCATCTCAACAGCATGCATTTTAACCAAGTTTTGTACACGGTAAGTTTAATGGAAAGTCTAGCAATAAGGGAGGAATGATGTTAAGGAACTGTATTAAAAAAGTCACGGCATTAGGAAAGTTGAGAACCACTGATCTAGAGGCAGCTGAAGCTATGCTAGATTTCAACATTTTAAATAAAGATCAATACTTAAAGAAATCTTACTGTGGTCCACCTATAAAACAAGTGTTAAAATGTTTCATATCATGGTATTAGTGATTACATGAACACACTTATCAAAACTCACCTAACAATAATTTAAAATATGTACATCAGACATGTGAATTTTCTCTCAATTTTAAAAGCATGCACTGGAAAATAAAACAATTAGTGTAACAACTTTTTTCTTACTGGCCTCCAGCTCCCTAATGGAGCATTATCTATCACAGTGACACCTCCGGCCCTCTCTGCCTTACTTGGCAGCTACCTTCACCACCTTCATTCCCTGGACAGGGATAATTGATGAGATTAATATACCGAGAAGGGTCAGGGATGGTGCTGTGCATTTATAGGCCCAGCTAACCGGAGGCTAAGACAAAAAGGGCACAGGAGGCCGGGCGGTGGAGACACAAGCTTCAGCAATACAGCCAGGACTCCGGTGGAGACACAAGCTTCAGCAATACAGCCAGGACTCCGGTGGAGACACAGGCTTCAGCAATACAGCCAGGACTCCGGTGGAGACACAAGCTTCAGCAATACAGCCAGGACTCCGGTCCAATAGCTAGTTAGCTAGCTGGAGGAGTGGATATGCAGACTTCAGCCTCTTTCCTGGTCTGCTTTGTTTGTTCGTTACTTTGTTTGGTTTTTCAAGACATGGTTTCTCTGTATTAACAGCCTTGGCTGTCCTGGAGCTCACTCTGTAGACCAGGCTGGCATAGAACTCAAGAGATCTGCCTGCCTCTGCCTCTGCCTCCCAAGTGCTAGCACTAACAGCCTGTGCCACCACCACGTTTATTCCTTTTGTGGTTTTAATCTTTCGGAGAAGGTAACAATTTTACCTCTCCAAACCTTTGGTTGGCCACCTGCACCAGCACAAATTTAGGAAATATAAAATCCAGCAGTGCAGTTATTAACAATTTCATGTGACAGCAGGAGTCAATAACTTTCATCAATTGTAAATTCTGCATGACTCCATGGCACATGTCTCTAGAGGTTCTAAATCTGAGTAGGAAACAGAGGGCAGTATTTTTAGACTCCTTCATATACACTATGATAATAGATCTCAGAGGTGAATCCTTACCATACAAAGTACTGTTCCTGTAAATCCCATTTCCATATTTTCATTTACTGACAACTTAACACTATGAAGTCATTGCAGTGAGAATTTCTCAACTTCCCACTGATGATAAATATTAGAATTTGAAAAAAATGGGTAATCCCCTTCAGTTTAAAAAAAAAAAAAAGGTAATCTTTTAAATATTTTGCTTTTGCAGAGGTAGAAATCAAACCAAAGGCCTTAAACATAGTAGGTAAATGCTCCAACACTGATATCCCAGCCTGAAAAAGTATTAATAGCAAAATATCTCTTTCATGTAAGGCGATGCATTACTTGGTTTATATTATGAAAAGAAAACACATACCTGGTAGTCAAAGTAAATAACAGTAAGAGAAGTTTAACTGCTTCAGAATGTCCATTCTAACAGTACAGACATTTATGGAGATGCACTGACTTCAGAACTGGGTAAGCTTTAGAGTAGCTCCCCTTTAAAAGCTATGTGATGTTTAAAAACAACTACAGGGTCCGACTAAGACACTGGCTGGCCTGGGATTTCTTACATAGGCCAGGCTGGCTTCAAACTCCTGAAGCACAGTGCCTGTGATTTTACTTAAAATATTATTTTCAAAAAATGCAGGCCCTGGGTCGGAGCCTTAGACACTGATCAAGTACCTTGATCATCTTTTCATACTGCGAAGCTTTCAGTTTTAACTTAGGTCTCTTTTTCATTGTTTTATCTTGTATGTATGAGTGTATGTCTGAATGTGTGTCTGTCTGTGAACACCATGTGTACTCAGTGCTCATAGAGGCCAGAAGAGGTCATCAGATTCCCTGGGACAAGAGATATAGAAGTCTGTGAGCCACCATGTAGGTGCTGGGAATCGAACCCAGATCCTCTAGAAGAGCAGCCAGAGCTCTTATCTGCTAAGCCATTTGTTTCATCAGCCCCTTCACTTAGGTCTTTAATGCAATAAAATTCATTTTTCATATGTCCTAAGATAGATGTTTATTCTTTTCTTACATGTTGACAGTTTTAACATTTTATCCTTAATTAAATAACCAGTTGTCTGTTGCATACACAACTATTTCTGAAGTCTCTTGTTTCTAATAATCTTGATAAACTACACTGACTCTGCCCCATCTTGTGGTATCTGGCATGCCTGCTCATTTTTCAGCTTTCTTAGATTTTTAAAATCCACTTCTCATGACAAGCATGCATTCCACAGCGAATGACTGAAGGACTGAATGTACAAACAAGCAAATGAATTAAAATCCCCCGGGGCCTATGATTAGAACACATGAACTCTATAGTTCTGTTTTAGGAACACTCATCTGTTAGTTAGGAAGCCTGTCTTTCTACAGGGTGAACTTTTCTGATTTTATCCAGATCTGGCTTTTGGTCTCTTAGTAAAACTGACTACTTTAATTGAGATCCTTTGACATA